CAATATTACCCCTGACTGTTTTCTGTCAACTGTGTGTGTGTGTGTTTTTTTTTTTTGTGTTAAGCCAATGTTATGTGAGCAGCTGACAGGAGATGTATGAAAGCAACAGGTTGCCAGGGGGGTACGTGCACATGGGTGTCAGCAGTTAAAATAAACTCCCCTGCCACCCAGCTCAGGGTATCAGGTTCTTCCTTCCATTGGCTCGTGTGAGTTGCCAGGCTGCACCGCGGCCGGCGGTATGAGAGCACGGCTCAGAGTCTGGATCTCACCCCAGTCTTGGAAAGGCAGGGAAGCTCAGGAGAGCTTCGCACCAGATGACATCACAGCAGATTATTATTATTTTTTTTTTTAAATATTTTGAATTTTTTTGCCCTTCATTCTTTTCTGCATCATGCCCATTAGAGTAATAAATGTCCGTGACAAATTAAAAGCATAGTGTTATCAGAGTCGTTAAATGAGCTCCCTCCAGGCAAAACGCTGCACATAGTTTTACTGATAACGTTTTGAGCAGTCTTTGCTGAGGGATACGCGTAGCATACTAAAAAAGGAAAGGTACTTCCCTCTCACACCTGCATTTACGGCTCAGTTGTTTTGCTTAGCTCAAGCTAGCAGCTGACATCAATCCAAAAGCTTGACAGATCTTTGAAGATTTACTATCGACAGGTGGAGTCATGTGAGATTGTACATTTTAATGGCGTAATTAAGTGTAAGGTGCTGACATTAAATTGCCTACCCATGATATTCTCATGTTGATGCACATAACTCATCCTTTGGGGGATTAAGGGCTGAAATTAAGAAGATATTTTTCCGAGAAAGTGAAAGGATGCAAAAAGATCACGGAGGTGCTAAGTTTGCTTAGGAGGTGGCCTGACAGCGGAGGATCTTCTGGCAGGCTTGCCCAGATAATGGATTTACACTGATGTAGTCCTTTAAAACTTGTTAGCTTTCTTCTCACACCGGTTAGCTTTGAGATCAGCTCTTGCTTTTTGTGTTAGGATTCAGCCATTGGAAATGTTGCTGTTTTTCGCCTCGCCCCTAGTTAAACAGAGGTGGACTCTAAAGTCCACCCTGCAAACCAGGCTGCTTATGTAACAGCTTTTCAAAGCTGGCCTAGATAGCAGCCGATCGCTGTTGTCCTTCGCACCCGGTGCCACCTCCGTGCTGTGGGTTTCCTACACTCTGTACCAGTTTGAACTTCATATATAGGGCAGGATTGTCCTTCTCCTGTCTCATTTCCTACACAGTTTTATTCTGCTGCTGTTGCTGCACTAATGCCTTCAGTAATTACTCAGCAGATTACAAGCCTAGGAGGGTTGTTAAAAACACTTATTTTTCTGAACACGAAAAATGCTGCAAGCTGCAAAATGAACACCCAGGCGAATGTAGTCATACGCCATATACATGCGTGATGGAAAGCATTATGGATTTCATAATCCTGTCCTATACCTTAAAAGCCAATGCATATGTATTCATATAAGGATGAAAATGATTTGTTGCTTGCACAACTGTTTAGAGATGAAGTGCAGCCTTCCTGAGGGATGGATCTCTTCAGGAAGTGACCGGGGGCTTGTCGCCAGCTGTGTTTGATGTTTGCATATTGCCTTTGTTTGTCATGAAATTAAATATTAAGAAATCCTGACCCAAACGGGTGTGTTTTCTGCATTCTGTCTAAAAACCTGGTTTATATAAATTTTCAGATACAATGCATTAAAGTGAAGACTACATGCACTTTGCTGGACAGTCAGGGTGATTTCCGTGGTTGATGTCTTGTGGTTAACTGCACCTCAGTCTGCACGTTCATATTCATGTGGTCTTTTGATTTTAACATGGCTGGTTTCTGCAGCGCTCATTCTTCTGCCGGCTCACTGAGGATAAGAAGTCGGAGAAGTTTTTCAAGGTGTTCTACGACCGAATGAAACTGGCCCAGCAGGAGATTAAAGCAACCGTGACTGTAAACACTAGTGACTTGGGCAGCAAGAAGAAGAACGATGACGCCATGGACCGGGAAGTTCCTGTCCGCAAGAAAGGTTAGATTTCAACCAGGGAGGTCAGTGTGGGAGGAGGGTGGTGGTTGAGTAGTTTTTTTTTTCTCTTGCCAAGAAGTTTACTGCTGCATCTGTATCGAAGCTGTTGTAGTTTTCTTATGTCTTGGCCTGTTATTTGGTCATAAGTTTTAGGTGTTTTTTTTAATTTATTATTATTCATTGACTAATTGATCATGAGGGGACTAACTTTCCTTATATGAGTTGATCCAGTGACAATCATACTTGTTGGAGAAATGCTAAACAAATAAATTGTGTAATATAAGCCTGATGTGGATTTCTTGTTGCAAATGCAACTTTAGAACTGAATTCTCTGCCAAAAACCATGCCAATAGTAACCTTGGACTATTGTCAGGAATATATTCATTTAGATATCCCACTGTAGATTCTTTTGGTTTTAGAGGAATGTGTGAGTATTTTGAAAGATTACAGGCTTCCCCATCACTGTGCCAGCAGCTAAGGATGCTGCTGTCATGGTGACGGAGGAGGTGCGTGAGCAGCTGCTGGAAGCCTCCTCCGCCACCAAAAAGGCCTTCAACTCGTATCGGCGTGAGGCCGACCCCGAGGAGCACTTCGCCTCCGCAGATGGCCCAGCCAGCGCAGGCGACAAGAGCCAGGATGATGGGGAGATGAGTGTCATCATCGCCATCATGCAGCCAATCCTGCGCTTCCTGCAGCTGCTTTGTGAAAACCACAACCGTGATCTGCAGGTCAGCCAGTTTCCCTGGGGTCCGCCTCTCTGGCCCTTCACATTAGGTCATTAGCTTTTTGAACAGATGTGCATTTAGACTTTAGAACATTGATTAAATGCATCCTCTGGGTACAATGGTAGGGTTTGTGATGTCACAAAAACACGGCCTTGTGGGTACAAGTTATGTTTCACTGCCAGTAAAATTCAGTTTTCACCCTTAAGGAGTATATGTTAAGATATGAGTTTGTCTGCTATTATACTGTATTATTTGTAGCTGATTCTCAGTCTGTCAGGTACTGAGGTCCCTCTATAGCAGATGAGTATCACGGAGGCTCTTCCATTTCCCAATTATAACCAGTTTTTAATAAAAAAAAAAATGAAATACAATTGTGATGCATTCCTCAATTCTTTCACATTTCCAAAATGCAGAATGTGTGTTTTGAAGTGCAAGGGGCTGTCTTTAAGTTTAATGCTTCAAGATAAGAAAACAAAAGGCACAGTTTAGTATGAAACACAGCTAAACCTTCTTTGTCTTGTCAGAGAATCCCGTGACTAATTTGAACCGTCCTAAAATGGAAATCAGTATTAAAGCCTTATGACCTGCATCTTTATCTGTGTGAATCAGACCAGATCCCTGTTTGGTATGATGACCATGCCATGTTTCCTCTGGTATAGTATTCAGTCCAAGCTACCAAAGATACCTGGTGAGCTCACAATGTTCCATGTGTCTTGCCTCCTTTTAGAACTTCTTGCGTTGCCAGAACAACAAGAACAACTACAACCTGGTGTGTGAGACACTGCAGTTCCTGGACTGCATCTGTGGCAGCACCACCGGGGGCTTGGGCCTGTTAGGCCTCTACATCAATGAGAAGAACGTGGCCCTCATTAATCAGACTCTGGAGAGCCTGACAGAGTACTGCCAGGGTCCCTGTCATGAGAATCAGGTAGACCGTGTCCTCCTAACACTGGTGTGGCACTTCAGCAATTGTGGGTTTGCGTAGATGGATGTATAATAGCCAAGAACACTGCTGTAGCCTTTTTCCTATTTTGCCTACAGTCATGTGAAAAAGTAAGTTTACCGCATGAAATTTTTGTCTTCATTTCAACAATGCTGTTAGAGAAATTTGATCAAACTGAAAAAGTTACACTTCGAATTTTGTATTTAGTAAAGTGTATAAGATGCATCAGGAAGTCTCAAGGTACCCAAAGGTGTCATCAAGGGATGATGCAACTCTTGCCGTAGTCCATGTGAAAGAGCAGGAGTCGGTCATAAAAAAAGAGACTACAAATTTGACCTAATACAGGGTTTGAAATTTGCCGTTAAACACCGGCATGAGGAACAACACTTCTGCAGCAGTGTGATCTGGACAGAGGAGACAAAGGGTGGAGTCACAATTGCAGATGCCATATTTGGTGGACAAAAACACAGAATTTGAGGAAAGAACCTCATAGCAACTGTGAAGCTTGGTGGTGGGAGTGTTTTACTTTGAAATAGAGTTGCTGCCTCAGCTGCTGCTTAGCCTATTGTTATAGGGTCTACAATGAATTCAGCATCATACCAGCGAGTGCTTGAGAATGAGAGGCCACCTGTCAAAGTTAAAGCTGGGTCATAAGTGAGTCTTAACATGATAATGACACCAAACACAATCAAATCTTCAAAGGAGTGGCTCAAAACAATGACATCTGTGGTTATTTCTGTTGAATTTTGTTCAACAAATGATTTTGGAGTCCACATTTCATTGTTTTTGTTAGAGTACGTCACACCTATCAGAACACTTCAAATAAAGATTAAATATTTGTTTGTCTAAATATGTTGAAAAGGATTGAATTTTTTGAGGGGTGTACTTACTTTTTCATATGGCTGTATTTATAAGCTAATCCAGTGATCCATCACTTTTCCATAACTGCTTGTTCAGTCTTTGCTCACAGTAAATGGAGGACAGCATGCCAGTCGATTGCAAAAATAAATTTAACATTTGTCATTTTAAGGATTGCATTCAGTTGTTAAAATACCTGCAAGTGTTATATTTGTTTACTGTGCAATTTTAGGCTGCTTTTGGCACAGTTCCTCTGTTTATGTAGGTCCTGTGTTGTTGCATTGTAATTTCCTCATTTCTTTCTTACACTCAGCATAGCTCAATGTTTTTGTTTTCATAGCAGAAGATTCACCTGTGATCAAATCTGTGAAATGTATTGGATGATACTACTTTAAATGGATTCTCTTTCATTGCAGAATTGCATTGCTACTCACGAGTCAAATGGGATTGACATAATCATAGCCTTGATTCTGAATGATATCAACCCCCTGGGGAAAAAGAGGATGGATCTGGTGCTGGAGCTCAAAGTGAGTCTCCTGTGAAGTTATTGACTCTGTTTTTAGTGATTTTTTTCCCCCAAGTATAGAAACTAATGTCGCAGGGCAATCAAAGGCAAAACAGATTTACAGAGATCTCTAGAGCAGACCAAAAAGCTTAGATAGTTACCAGACAGTTGCACTGGTTAAGCAGTTGACAAAGGAAAACTGAAAAGGGCAAAAGTTAAAGCATGTGCCGCAAAACAATCAATAAAATAGTATACTGAAAGGCAAAAAATTGCAAAACAAATATTTAGCAAAATAATCAATGACACAGTATACTGAAAGGCAAAAAATTGTTTGCAAAACACTCTGACACAGTATACTGAAAGGCAAAAAATTGTATGCAAAATAATCAATGACACAGTATACTGAAAGGTAAAATATTGTTTGCAAAATAATCAATGACACAGTATACTGAAAGGTAAAAAATTGTTTGCAAAACACTCAATGACACAGTATACTGAAAGGCAAAAAATTGTTTGCAATACACTCAATGACACAGTATACTGAAAGGCAAAAAATTGTT